ATGCTCTAGCCTTAGGTGGGCTAGGGAATAGAATAAAATGGAAAGGATAGAAAGGATGGAAAGGATGGAAAGGATGGTGCTGTGGCATTGGTCAGACCGCAAATGCTGCAAACAATTGTGTTTTTCTTTAGTAAATAACTGGACAAGTAGAACGGGATTTGACACTTTTTTAGCTGCACACACTTTGCGGCATGCAAATTTAATTGCCAAACGCCTGAAGGCGATTGTCGCAGCTTGAAAAACGAGTATTTGATTAAATTATGAATTTTTATTTGCTTGGGATTTGTTGCATATTAGATGATGACAGAAATGTTTTTAGTAAATTCACCACAGTATTTATTTATGACAGCTTTTCTCAAGGAAAAACTGAAGGCAAATACAAAATGCAAATGGCAACGAAAATCCAAATTCATATCCAGGTGGCAGGATGCAAAAAAGCAAAACAAAAATAATTACATTTTAAATTGGGAAAATAGTGAAATGTGATTCCTTACACAAAGGAGTCCAAATCCAGCCGTGACTCGTTTTTCGGCTTTCTGGAATCCAAGGATTGACAGCCAGCCATGACGCTTCATTTATATGTTGATGACAAAATTTGCAATGCAATCTAAGCCATCGGCCTTCTGGGAGGCCGCCAATAAAAGTATCTGCAAGATACTTTTACGTGCCTTGGATTAAGGTAAAAGAACCAATTCTAATATTGATGACTTCAACGTGGCTGCGACACGATGGCTAAACCACAGTAGCAAAGCTAATAAATATGATAAAGACGATGTTGTCTCCAAAGGGCATACAATAAATTTAAAGAGCCTTTACCAGTGTTTTTACAATATTTAAATAAAATACAAAACAAAAAAAAATTGAATGTAGGAAATTTAAACAAATTAAAATAGGAAACTAAAATAGTATCTTAATTTGTATAGCTCTTAAAATAAATATAAAATGCAAACATATTTACATACTTATAGTATAGGCCAAAAATAACATTTTTATGGGGTAATATAATTTCAGTTAAAAGTTTACAACGCAGTGAAGGACGCATTTCCGACCCTATAAATTATATTATATAAATCTTGATCAGCATCACCAGGAGAGTCGATCTTGCCATGTCCGTCTGTCCTTCCGTCTGTCCCTCAGTCCCTCAGTTTTAAAGCTATCAGCTCGAAACTTTACTAAAGTTGTATTTCTATTGCAGGTAGTATATAAATCGGAACGAGCCGGATCGGACGACCATATCATATAGCTCCCATAGGAACAATCAAGAAAATTTTTTTTTTAAATTGTAACTTTGTTGTTTTTAATTTTTTTTTGTTTTTTGGGACTTGGTGATAAATAAATACTATGGAATTACGGTTTTAATTAAATTAAAATCGGATAATATTATCATATAGCTGCTATAGAAACTATGGCAAAATGCAGCGCAAAATCGACATGCTTCATTGTTTTTAGTAATATAGGCATTGAAATCGAAATGTAGTCGATTTGTAATAACTGCAAGGGTATATAAACTTCGGCTTGCCGAAGTATGCTTCCTTTCTTGTTTTAAATTCCTTTAATAGATATGAACGAAAGTAGCTAAAATTGTTTTAATTTTAATTTACAGAATTTATTATTTTAAGGCAATCTCTTGTTTCACGAGATATATTTTTATCCACCAATTTTAAGGACAAAAAATAATAAATATTTGGCCCGTTTATCCTTTGAGCTGTACATCTTTAAAGTTATTTACATCCTAATAATGCTCACAAAAAAATGCTGCCAGAGTTATAATCCGACCTTAAGGGCGTGAAAATCCCTAGGCAAATTTTACAAAAAACATAATACGGTTTGTCCAACATCTCATTTGCTCATCATTGTTGACATGTTCTGCTGTGACAGAAGCAAATTAAAGACGAGCAAAGGAATGGGGCACGAAAAAAACGGAAATCTCATTTGTCGAACGTGCATATTTAATTCCACATCCGACTGGGAATAGAACGTATTACTAGCTTTAGTTCCTGCCCAAGAGTATGCAATAAAATGCTTTCCAACTGCCATAAAGAGCTCGGCAGACAAACACAATTTCGATGCTTGTGTACTTGAAATAGATTTTTAATAGTCCAACTGACATAGACAAATAAACAGAGAGAAGGGGCATGCAACTCCTTTTCAATGGCATTGGAGTCCTGCTTTATGCCGGGCTTTTGTTTGGCAGTCGAAAGCATTTATGCGATTTTGTCGTTGGAGCAAAACACGAAGATACACCCCACACACATTTCCCACTGCAAATATAAGTTTATGAAATATGTCATTTGTTTGCTACACAGATATGTATGAACTATTTATGGAGACAGAGAAATGAACAGCAAATTTGCTGTTGTCGAAACGAATTAATGTTTAGCTGGAAACAATTTTCCTTTGATTGTTGTCTCCCTTATTGTTGTTGATGATTGAATGCAGTGCGTTTCATAAGTTATGAAAAATGAAGAGGCCAGTTCAAAAAAATGGAAAGAAAAACAAGAAAGGAAAGCTAACTTCGGGCGGAGCCGAAGTTGATATACCCTTGCAGAATACTCTGTAAATTATATTCTCCAAAATTATTCATATGAATAATACTCATAAAAAATCCCAACTTCCTAACTTTAAAAACACCAAAGTTATGGCATTTCCAATCGTTCAGTTATATGGCAGCTATAGGATATAGTCGGCCGATCCATATGGAATTTGGTAGGTCGGATTAATTGGCCAAAAATAAAACCCATAGGAAATCCCAACTTTCTAACTTTACAAACACCAAAGTTATGGCATTTCCGATCAATCAGTTATATGGCAGCTTTAGAATATAGTCGGCCGATCCTTATAAAATTTGGTAGGTCGGATTGATTGGCCAAATATAAAACCCATAGGAAATCCCAGCTTCCTAACTTTACAAACACCAAAGTTATGGCATTTTCGATCAATCAGTTATATGGCAGCTATAGGATATAGTCGGCCGATCCTTATGAAATTTGGTAGGTCGGATTGATTGGCCAAATATAAAACCCATAGTAAGTTACAGCTTCCTAACTTTAAAAACACCAAAGTTATGGCATTTCCGATCAATCAGTTATATGGCAGCTATAGGATATAGTCGGCCGATCCCGGCCGTTCCGACATATATACTGCGTGCAAAGGAAAGAAGGGTGTGTGCAAAGTTTGAATTCGATATCTTTAAAACTGAGAGACTAGTTTGCGTAGAAACAGACAGACGGACAGACGGACAGACAGACGGACAGACGGACAGACGGACAGACGGACAGACGGACATGGCTATATCAACTCAGGAGGTGATCCTGATCAAGAATATATATACTTTATAGGGTCGGAGATGTCTCCTTCACTGCGTTGCACACTTTTGACCAAAATTATAATACCCTCTGCAAGGGTATAAAAACAAATAAAGTTATAATATCCGCATAAGAATCCATATAAAAACCACTTGCAATTAAAAAATACAGTTTTCCTACTTCACATTCAATTTGTAAAATTTATTTTTAAGATAAGTCTACAGCAATTTGTTAATAGAATGCTTAAAGTTTTTAATTAAGGTTTTATACTTTTTACTTAAAGAACAAAGAACTTATTTGTAGCCGTGAAACGCACTGTAGTCGAGATTGATGCACTTCGAAATGACCCAAGTAATTTGCTGGCCCAATATTTTGTGGTCCTTTTGGCCATTTAACAGCCGAACAACGAGCTGGCGGTAATAAAGTGCCAAATAAATGCAATAAAGCTGTTGGTACAAGTCGTTGTCGAAATCGGAATTGGAAGGGGAGTTTTCGGGAGTGCGGATGGTGCCATAAATGTTCTCTCTTCCGGCTTTTATTACAAAACACACTCAAAAACAGCAAATAAAAAATGCAAATAAATAAACGCAGCGAACTGTCGAACAATTGAAAAGTTCCCCACAATAGAGCTGGGACTTAACTGCTTACCGAAGGAGCTGCAACGGAATAGTCCTTAAAGCGAGTCCAAGGATGAGGGTGGTTGGGTGGATGGGTGGTTGGGTGTTTGGGTGGCTAAGTGGGTGGTTTCGGGTGCTTTTGGCACAACAGGATTACAGGCAAATTGCAAAACGTCTTTGCATGTCTCAGGCAAACTCACACACATACACACACACACGAATGTACATTGCCCAAGCCAACTAATTTTATTGCTCAACACATTCGTGCCTTGTTTATTGCCCGACTACTCGCCCCCTCTCTTTCAAGCCTCCTCTACCTTTCTCTTTCCTCAAGAGGAGACGCGGATTCGAGTGCAAAAATTTTAACAAGAAAATTGTTTAAGTGCTCCGTCTTGAGTTCCCCGATTAGGCCACTGACTGATGGCCAGGTCTTTTAAAGCTGTCTGTTTACTTCGCATTCTTCTTCGGTCAATAGCACTCGCTTAAAGTTTTGTACAAAAAGATTCAAATTGATCTGCACTTTAAAATAAGTATTAGTTAGAAATTATGGCCGTTTACTTCCATTTTCGAAATATTTTTAATCATTAAACTATCATTTTCTAATAAGCCATTATAAAAATGAAACATTCAGTTTAAATTTAAATAAAAATGTAAAAAAATTAACTTAACTAAATACTAAATTTTTATATTTTACGAGTTTTTGTATTGAAAAACTTCAAATATTCATTTTATTCAAAAATATTCAAATTAATCTGCACTTTAAAATTTATATAAGAGAGAAATTCTGTCATTTGACTTCCATTTTAGAAATATTTAACTATCATTTATTATCATATAAGCTTGTAAGCAAAATCAATTGTCAAAATCGAAAGTATAATCGATGAATTTTCAATATACAAAAATTTCTTTACTTACGTGTTTTTGTGCCAGTGCACAAGTAAATGCAATCTTAATCTTACGACTTAAAGTGTAATTTCCAACCGAGTAGGCAGCATTAAATGAAATCAGAGCAGGCTCGTCTATAGCTGACTGACTTTTCAGAGCCTGTAAAATCGAGGAAATTCTACGGCAGCTCAGTTGTGAGGTGTATTCAGCAATCATGCCGAACATTTTCCGCAGTTTTTTATCAGATCGATATAGTGGGAAACAGGAACGCTTCTACAAACGCTATGACGGTAAGGTTTTTGTACTATCTTACAAGTATATATTAATATCTTTTTAATTAACAGCTATTTTTCAAGCCATGCCCAATATGCCACCGATGCCCAGGCCAAAAACCAATAATGTTATAAGGACAAGCACAAGAGTCGACCCTAAAAGCAATGCAAACTTTACCTATCATTATGGCAACAGGGAACCCACTACCGATTGGCGTCAGAGCAATGATATACCAATTGTGGTCCGAAGAGAAATGGAGGAGCGACTGGGCATCCAACTTATGCCTCTACAACCAATTTCAGAAAGCAACTTGATCAGTCAGACCATCTGGGAACTGAAAATGCCTGGTCAATGTCTAGAGGTAATCCCCAACACCCAAAGCGGTGCTAGAGTTGGCATTATTACGGTTTTGGTCCAACCTGCAAAGAGTAATCGTGGCAGGGGAAATGCGACTAGGTCGAAATTAATTGGTAGACCACCAAATTTAGCCAAAGTGCCTGAGCCACCAAATATTGTGGTGGAACAAGCACCACCGCAGCCCAAAAAACAGGCGGAAAAGAGACGTTTTAAGCGACAGGGCGAGCAGTTTGAATGCAGCATATGTGTCAGGAAATTTGATCACTCCTGGATGCTGATCGCCCACATAAGAACTCACACCGGCGAAAGACCCTTCGTCTGTCCCGAAAAGAGTTGCAAGAAATCCTTTGCCGATCGGTGAGTAAACAATACCATAAACTTAAAAACAGAAAATAAATAACGAATTTGATCTCAGACATCTGAACATATTTTATTTGGTTTTACCAAAGAATCAATTTATTAAGATTTCTTGATTGTTTAAAATGTTACTGAAAATAATGTCTAAAGTTCAATTTTGATTTTTAATATCTAAACGCTCTTTCAATTAAATACACTGAGTTACTTAGTTTTTATTCAAAATTAGTTATTGCCTTTAGAAGCTAATATTTATAAATATTTATTATTTCTAGCTCCAATCTACGGTCGCATCAGCGCACAATGGGCCACCACGAGTGGCAATATCAGTGCGGACAGTGCAGCAAGTATTTCAGCCAGATGTGCTTCCTGAATCGCCACTCGATGGACGCCTGTCGCAAATATCTGATGACCATTATGCATAGAAAGTTCTAGCTTCAACAAATATATATTCTAATTGACTATTGTGAAAGTTGTATATTACATAAACAAATAGAATGGATGAAAAAGTAAGTTTAGTGGATGAGAAAAGAACTGAAATCTCGAGACCCAAAAACGATACATCTATCACTGCTAAAGCTGTCATTCTGTGATGGCAGCATATCCACTTAACATTTCAAAGCAAAGCGCCTCTGCCTCAAAACGGCAGTTGGCCCAAACGTATTGGCCAAGTTTCAAGTACCGCCGGCCAGACCAAACGCACACATACACACACACCCGATGAAATTGCGTTCAATGCAACTAAATTGGCTCATTAGCAAACAAAGTGCGTCAAGGCGATGGGGAGGAAGGTGGCTTCCAGGACGAGAACCGTTTCTTTGGCCAGCCAAAACATTTTCCCGACGAGTGTCTCCACCGCCTCGTCGATTGGTTGCAATCCTCAAAAGTTCCAAGTGCAAAAGTGCTTCGCTCGGCGACTAAATCAAACAATGCCAATGAAAGTGCACTGAGAACAACTACTTTTAAAAACCCGCAGAGATATAATACATGTATTTTACTATTTTTAGTTTAGTTTATCCTAAAAAGCAATGCATGTTGGATTTAATAATCATTTTAAGCCGAATTTTAATGTACAAAAAAAATACAATTATTTGTATAGATTGATGTTCAGAAATACGATATCTTATTAACCAAATTATCACATAAACTAATATGAAGAAATATGGTTTTGAAATTTTTAGATATTTAAAAACCTAATTTCACACTTTTCAAGATTTTAAAGTATATAGGAAATCATATAATTCCTTGGAGCAGTCGTAAAAATGTAAGTATGGAATTTTCTTGCAAGTTTTAGGCACACGCACACTTCTTCTGGACAATTAATGATCAGAATGGAGGGGGCATACATTCAGAGGGGCATTTGTCTCTTTAAGGAGACGACTTCGATTGCGGTTAACCCCGGCCGCAGTGTAAATCCCACATTTGGCGGCAGCAGCTGCACGGCCAAGTGCCACGGTCGCAATGCAAACAGTTCGATGCAATTTTGAGGGAAGGACGACGGCTAATGCCTTAATTTATGGTCGCCAGATAAACAGAATATGATTTAAGGACCCCCTCTCTCAATGTAAAACATATGTCCACTAAAACGCAATTACTTAAACGAAGCGAACAATGAAACAGGAGCGCCAAATGTATCGTTTTATTTAAATATTTGATGAGTCCGCGTCACCTAATAAAATTGTAAAACATGAGCATTTTATTGGGCAAGAGTCTTCCGAAATTTCTTTTGCTCCTCGTCTTTTTTTTGTCGCTTTCTGTCCGGATAACTTGGCTAAAATAAAAGGGGTGGGCGGGAAGTTGAACTAAGTGAATTTTTATGCCACCATGAACGCAAGTCGCGTGCTTCTGCACAAAAAAAACAAAAAGCGAAGAAAAGTTCAATGGACATGTGTAACACACTTAGAATACGTTTAATTCTCAATATTTTAAATATAATGCTTACACATATATTTATCTATTTGAGAAATCAAATGAATCTTTAGATTTCTTTAAAATATCCTAAATAAAATAATCAATTCATCAAAAATCATTAATGTTTTGAAAAAGTTACAACAATGCTATAAAGGAAAAAGATTAAATACAATTTTGAGAAATTGAATTTCGGAAACATATATCCATGTTAAAATACCTCAAGCTAGAGTATAAAGATGAGCAGCAGCCACAGGATCCAAGGCATCCTTTGCCGTACGAACGTATTTTTAAACTAATTTTCCAACTGGGAGCATTTCGATGGCATTTAACGTGCCAGCCATCAAGGAGAAGGCAGGACACTGCAGCAGGATCCAGAGGAGCAGCCGAAGCTGGTCAGTTGAGCCGTAAATTATTTTAGCGTTTCAATTTGGCTGGAAGGGAGACAGCAGCAGCAGCCGTCATTGGCTGAATGGGTCCCATAATAAAGAATATATACGCAAGACTATCTATCTATTGCTTAAAAGTTACCCAAACTGACGAGCAAATAAAGTTGACTAATTCAATTGGATTTGCATTTGGTTTTCCCATTTTGGGGAATTTTGTGCTAAATAAGTTGCTGTATTGCTAACTCATTTTTGTTTGAATTAAGACTAATTCAACGACAACTTCTGCATTGAAAATTTCAATTGAAAGCAAAGAAAAATAAATATTTTATTTATCAAAAATAGAAAATGATAAAATTGATTTTAAGAAATGTAGTAATTGTAACAAATGTTTTTTAAAAATGATTTTCCGAATTAAATTAATACTATTTAGAAAGGACGAACAGTGTGTGTTAAGTCTACAAAACCAATTACTACAATGTATAAATATTTTTTGCTGATTATACAAATTCAACTAATATTTTGTCACAATTTATCCACTAAACTCGCAAGCTCGACAATATTTACGTATTTTCTGGTTCACTTTATACACAGCTAAAAATGTGTAACATGGAATTAAAATTGTTATGAATTTTATTACAAATGTTTTGGATGTTTAACTAATAAATATGGAATTTATTAAATGAAAATACATGTTTAGATTCTGCTATGAATGTACAACGAACCATTTATTTAATATATATAAATCATTTAACCCAATTATTTACTTACTAAATACTTTTAATTTCCCTCAGCTTTAGCTCTTTAAAGTTCACTTAAACTTTCGCAGTTTTAATTCAGTCAATTTCATTTTCCTTATTACCTGGGACAACTTCGTCGCCGTTAACCGAATGAAAATGTCATTTATTAGCGCATCTCGTCCTGCCACTGAGGGCCATCAAAACCGCCGTGCAGCTCTAAATTTTGCAGGTCGTGAAAGGAAACGTCAGCGAAGATGCATAGCCAAGTTTTTGGCTAAATTTATGACCCGTCGTAAGCAACCAACAACACCCGGATACACCTAACCAAACATACACCCACAGACATCACGTTCTCACCTTAAGCTCTACTCAAAGGTACTTCGTACTTCCCAGGAACTCATCAACAATTTTATTACTGGGCCACGGGCTACATGGCACCCAACACTTTTTATGGAAGCGATACAAACGGAGACAAATAAAAACACTGGTATTCGATATACAAGATAAATGATTCATAACAGATTTCGAAAACAAGGTGCATTATCCAACTGACTGTCATTTTTACTATCACGTTTTCTTGTATACTTTCTTATATCTTATTTTCAAGCAATGGTAATTAAATTTAAAATATAATATACATTCCTTATGGGGTCCTTAATGTGACCTTCACTCTACTCTGCACCCTACTTTTTGCAAGGGAATAATAACTAACAAGAAAATGGGTCAAAAAATTGTTCAACTTTAAAATGACAATTCGAATGCAGATTTTTAGAGAATAAAAACACATTTCGTGAGAAGTATTTTGCATTGAATTTTTTATTTCTTTCTCATTTCCTAAATTAATACATTCTCTCAGTTTGAAAGTACATTTTTGTACTTAGGCACTAATGATATACATTTTTAAATGATTAGGGTTTTTCTGGTATGTTCTAATTTTTCTCTTTATAATTATAAATAATAGACTTAAAACCGTTTAAGAGTATAATAAGATAAGGCATGAACAGTACTGGGAACTTAATCTCACAAAGTATTTGGACCAATTAACATTAAAAATAGCATACATATATAATAATGTATGATACGAATACTGGCATTGGCATATAAAAACCAGCTGCAAGATAAATGTCGTTTTTTTATACAGAAAAAAGTACCAAACTCTTTTTCTTTTTTTTTTTGATAACAGTTTAGTTTTTTTTTCTTATTTTTAGATTTTCTATTTCAAATTGTTTCTCTACAAATTCAATTAAAAAAAACTTCCATGAATTTATTTTAATTCATATAAATAAAAATTATGTTTTCTTATAATTAGGTTTTTTTTTTCTTTGTGCAGTGATTCATATTTATTGTATTCCGAGATGTAAGTGCTTTGTCAATAGACTTCTACCCGCTCCTCAGAGATATTGTCAGAAACAGAGAGTAAAGTCCCCCGACCCCGGGATCTTCTACACTCGCGGACATTTAGACAGCAGTAGTAAAAATATATAAAAACCATTGCTATAAACACCGGTCCGCAGATGAAGTAGGATAGATGAATTTGGGGATCAGTCATAGTGTTGCACTTCCTAAAAAATATAAATCTATTTAATTTCAAATATATCACTTGATTGTAAGTGCTTGATTTTCGCTTTCGGCAGACTATTTAAGTAATTATTGTTATAAACACATCATTTATAATTTAAGCACGGAAATAATGTAGAGTAAATTCGTTATCACAAATTTAAGTTAAAATGTTAGCCATAAGTTTAAGTCATAGCACTTTTAATGGTTCTTTATTAGTCAGCTTACAAAAAAATAAACTTTTAATATTTGTCTGCGCTGTTGTTGCTGTGAATCGATATTGTGTTTTCAACTAAGGAGCCACCGGGACGTATTGAAATTCGACTCAGGGGCAAAGGAAGTACCCGCTTTTCGATCTGAGCTCTTCGACGATCGCGAACACACTGGTACCAGTAATAGCAAAAGCACAAGAATGCAGCTGACATTGCAACTCCGAAGGGTATGAGCAGGAACAGATTGATTTTCCAGTCTTTCAGAAGTGTCCATATTGGTTCTTCATCCATTACGCAAACGACGCTCAATGAACGAACCGAGAATCAAAACTAAATAGGAAGAAAACACAAAATTTATTTCGCCTCAAATGGCAATGTTTTAATCTTTACACTTAGAAATAAATGTTCAAAAATATTCAAATATTGTCGAAATATCTGATAATTATTTATTTAAAATTTCATTAACAAAATTTGATATGAAATACTATTCAGAACAAGAAAGGAAAGCTAACTTCGGGCGGAGCCGAAGTTGATATACCCTTGCAGAATACTCTGTAAATTATATTCTCCAAAATTATTCATATGATGCATTCTTAATACTCATAAAAAATCCCAACTTCCTAACTTTAAAAACACCAAAGTTATGGCATTTCTAATCGTTCAGTTATATGGCAGCTATAAGATATAGTCGGCCGATCCTTATGAAATTTGGTATGTCGGATTGATTGGCCAAAAATAAAACCCATAGAAAATCCCAACTTCTTAACTTTACAAACACCAAAGTTATGGCACTTCCGATCAATCAGGTATATGGCAGCTATAAGATATAGTCGGCCGATCCTTATGAAATTCGGTATGTCGGATTGATTGGCCAAAAATAAAACCCATAGAAAGTCCCAACTTCTTATCTTTAAAAACACCAAAGTTATGGCTTTTCCGATCGTTCAGTTATATGGCAGCTATATGATATAGTCGCCCGATCCGGCTCGTTCCGACTATATACTACCTGCAATAGAAAGACAACTTTTGGGAAAGTTTCGAGCAGATAGCTTTAAAACTGAGGGACTAGTTTGCGTAGAAACGGACGGACAGACGGACAGACTGACAGACGGACAGACGGACGGACAGACGGACGGACAGACGGACAGACGGACATGGCTAGATCGACTCTCCTGGTGATGCTGATCAAGAATATATATACTTTATAGGGTCGGAAATGTCTCCTTCACTGCGTTGCAAACTTTTGACTGAAATTATAATACCCTCTGCAAGGGTATAAAAATTAATCAAATTAAGATTATGAAAAAACTAAATAGTTTATTTTTTCTTAAGATTTTACAAATCTGAATGTAAATTTAAATATTAATTAATTAATTTTTTCTTTATTTGTTAGTGACATGCTATAATTTTTGCCTCATTTTCTGAATCTTCCTTGAAAGTTCGAACATTTAGCTTAGATTTTGTGCTGACATCTTATAAATGCACTGAGCTGGCAAATTGATTTGTTGATATATTCCTTATAATATAATATACAACCCTTTAAATTTCTAGTGTATTTATGTGTATTTTATATAATGCAATGAGCTGGCAAATTGATTTGTTGATATATTCCTTATAATATAATATACAACCCTTTAAATTTCTAGTGTATGTATGTGTATTTTATATTCGTGATCCACATGCTGGCGTTCTTGATAACACGAGTTTGAATGAATCATGTAAGGGCGCTAAATTCCCAGCGTATTATTGTTTTCTTCCTCTCATTCCGCTGATGGCGATCCCAGAAGAATCCGGAATCCGGAATCTGGGGACTAGCCTCGACAATTGCAAACAAAACTGCTAGACGAAACTGCTGTGCAACTTCAAGTGCAACGCGGCGTCCAGACGCAACTCAATTCAAACTTTGAAATTGTGCGTTGTTGTTGACTGCGACTGCGACTGCTCCTGACATTTGATGCTTTATGATGGAGTAAAAACCAAAAACATCCAGCACAAAAATAGATATATGCCAAATCACAACAACACGTTGTATGCCGCATTCCATACTCCTCCAGACTGATGAGTAAAGTTTGGTTTTAATTTAAAATTTCACCACAAAGAAAGTAGATTCGTGTGCGTTTTTTTTTATTGCTAAAGATGCTGAAATTTATATAAAAAGGCACTAAAATTAATTAATTGCCTTCAATATTTTCGATTAATATGCTAAACAACCCTCTTATGAAAAAAAATTATTAAAAAATGGAGTCAAGCCAAAAAAAAACAATAATGTGCTATAGGTTTTGAAAATTGAAAAGGAAGTACCGTTTTATGCACTTCCACCTTTTTTGGTAGCTCAAAATAACTTTAAGTTGCCGCAAAATATTTCCTACAAAGCTAACTGAATTGATATTTTTAGAAAGACAAAAAAAACAAGGAAACAAGTTGCAGTTCATGCATTGAAAATCCTTTTGTATTGCTTAAAATTCTTTCGATGAAATAAAATTGTTTTTTGCCAACTATGTTCGGGGTTCTAAAATAATCGTGGGAGCTGGGTGTTATGCAGTGGGAGTAAGTTTAAAAGCGCAACAACAACTCACTCGCAGACCCGGAAAATACACACAACGCACACAGAATGGATATTTCTCATTCAATTTCGCAGGTGTTTGACTCCATGTCGGAGTGTGCCTGTTTCGAAGGAGAGGGAAAGCCTTTGTCGAATTGAGGCGTACGTGGTTTGGTTTGGTCTGGCTCGTCTCGTTTCGTTTCGTTTCGGTTGCCATTTAAGCGGATTTTCAAATGCATCCGAAATGTGCCAATGGACCAGGTTCTTTGTGGACCCAAGCTTATACCAAGGATTTTGATAATGATGCTGATAGTAAAGTGACTGTGATGACATTGATTCCATCATTGGAAACGTTGTAGATGAAGGTGCATAGTAATCCAGCGAAATCGAATAATAAATATTAGGTTTGATGTCGGCTAAGACGTTAAAATTTAGAATGTTAAAAGTTATATCCTTTTCTGACAGTTTTAAGTAAAATATGTTTAAAATAAAATATAATATATAAAGCACAGTAATTAAATAAATACACATTAGTTTGGTTGCATGTTGATAGATGATTAATTGACCAAATGTAACCCTGTTGTCAATTCTATATTTTGTTGCTGCTTTTATAATGCCTCATTCTACTACTTACTAAGCTAAACTGAAAGCAACTCAAATATTGTAATATTTTGTAGGTAGAAACTATCCCTTTTAAATAAAGTCTTGTAATATTTAAGTTGTATAATTTGAGGCCCGCATTTACAGCCAATAGTTGTTTGCTTTTTGCTGGATACTTGCCCCATCTAACCCCAACACCAGTTTTTCACCACAACCCCCTTTTATTGCATGAGAACGTGTTGCATACTTTGTGGCTGCAGCTGCTGTTTGTTTGCCTTTTGCTTTCAGCATTTTATGATACTCGCGATAATGATGGTTGGCCACAGACACATTACCCCCAACCACCCAATCCACCCCCTTATTTACACCTTGCTCATGTAATTAGATGCGCAAGTTAAGTTCGGGCGTGTGAAATTAATTAAAACTTTCGCTGCTTAAAGTTTGGACCAAAAAGAAAGTAACCATCAACTTGAACCCTCATATGGAGCATGAGAAGGGAAGAGTTTGGGAATCCCCGACAAATTGCCGCAAGACAATGTCGGGCCATAAAGTCAAGTGCAAAAGTGGCAAGTACATAAGTTCCCAGTTGCAAGTTGCTGATTGTAACTTACAGCATAAATCAGAAATAGTTTAGCCCGTCTGGCCCCCATTTCGTCCATTTGTCTGTCTGCCGATTGTCTATCATCGAAGGCCATCAGCAGACAAGCGTCGAGTTCGGTTTCAACATCCCACTTACCAGTATTTTTCCCGGATGAGTTGTTTCTACACTCACGAAGGGTATTTCGATTTTGGTTCAAGACAAACATCATAATAGATTAAGTTTTTTATCATCGACTTCAGTACCCCCTGATTCATAGGCGTTCAACATAAACATATGACATGTTTTTCTGCCACCTAATCAGACCAATTTCCTTACATTTTGTTTAAAGGCTTGACTTATTTTTTCAGTATGCCATTGTAGCTTTAAATACACCTTTATTTTACTCCTTTGTTATTAGTACAAAAGATTTTTTGGGTTTTATGATTTTAAAATAATTAAGTAAAGTATTCATTCATTTATTTTGGTAAATGATTTTTTTAATGAATTTTCTATGTCATTTTTCAGAAAGAGTATTGGCAATTTGGGTATTTTCAGCAAATATATGACCATATTTACTTTTTTTTTGACCGTGATCCCTTCGGCACTCTCCTCTTTTGGCTTGCTGTTTGTTTTCTTCGCTGTGCCCCAACATGCTGCATATTTATGGCACGCCGCAAACGTTTATCTAAACTACATAAAGCAATAAAAGTTAAAAGTCAAATAACTGTAGTACGGTTCCTTGAAGTTAGCCTTGTTGCTCTTTCAGTTGTTATTGTTTTTGTTCCAGGGTGTTTTTGCGGTGCAAGTGCTGAAACAGATGCCATCGAGTGAGTCTGCAGGAGCTATCCCCCCTCCACAGGATACTCGTATATCCTTGTGACTGGATCCGCCCTTTGGGAAGCTGAACGGAAACTGCCGACAACCGACAATGATGAGGACTCGTTATGGTTTCGGTTTCGTTGGCAGCACCTACAGGAAGTGTGAGATCTAAATAGTGCCCAGTATGAGGGATTAGCAGATAAGAAGGAGAGAATATACCCTTTAAATTAGGAATTTTACACATCATAGTAATTATAATTTAAAGCACGAGTTAAGACTAAGTTTATTTTATAAAGCTAAGCATCACTATATACCAGGTTGCAAATCGTTTTTAGGCATAGGCATAAATGCAATAATTTTTATAAAGTTTATATAATAGTTAGGCTAATAGAAATAACATTCATGCTACATTTAAATGATTGAGAAGCCCTTGGGTCAGTAATAGATCACCAAAAACCAATTGCTTCTTAGGAACTGCATTCTTTAGATACCTGCAGTGAATTCCGAAAGTCGATCTGGCATTTGTGTTAATAACCCAAGGTTTTATGTATTTGTTTACATCTACAAGCTGTCGGATCGAACTGCAGATAACTATGAAGTCGACTGGGAAAATGGAAACTTTAGAGAGAAAAAGTGGGTACCACGATGGAGGTCGAACAATCCTCGAACGTCATGCACGTGCAGTGCAGTCCTGTCCTTTGGACCTGTCCTCCAGCCCCCTTTTCCCTGCTCCTATTCCAGGCGTATCCTTTTAATCC